GGTATAAAAGACAGAGAAAACTTGGCACTCCTTTGGAGAACTACCCACCTGTAATACGGACACGTGTTGCTTGTTCTGCTGTTCCCAGTAGAGAGGGTCCCTCTAAGCCTGACTGTCAGAGTTCTTTCAGTCGTGTGCAGCGGAGTGACAACCAAGTTTCTCTAATGGTGATGTATACTTAAGCTGATATCTAGATAATTAAGTTGTTTCCTTAAGCTGAATGTGCACTATAGATTGAATGTTATTACTTATTAAGTCTCTGTTAATCAATAAAGTTTGTATTGATTATTTACAAGTACTTGGTGTCAGTGTCTTTCCCTTTCTCAAATACTCAATTCACTCATCTCAAATAGGGTTTTGGTGCCCACCAGTATCTTTAAAAACCTTAGGGTAATTGTTTATTGCTTTTTGATATTGGTGCTTCATGAATTTAATGATTAGGAACAACACTGACTTTTTCCATTCATTTTTAGAAACATTCAATTTTTTAATTTTTTTTGTTGCAAAAGAAAAAACAATCATCATTATAAAATTATCACCTGTTATCGCCTGTATTTTTTAAATATAGATATCATAAATGATAACACTTTTTTTCATTATAACATTCTTTATTTAGACACTTTCTTACCATACATCTTATGTTTATATACAAAGAAGAAAAGAGAACCTTAAAAAATGATTACCATGCATACATGAGCCTTTAAAAGAAAATAAAAAAAGTGCTTCCCTGTAGTGCGTATTATGTTATTCTTTTTTATCATAATTTATTATATTATCATAATAATAAAAAAATTAAAAAAAATTGAAAACCCAGTCCAAAAGTAGTTTAGCTCCTGTACAACTCCACCACACGTGTATATAGTTACCAATTAATGCTTTACATCTTTAGCAAATATGAGAGACCCTAGGGTCAATTTTTTACATTTTTGTGGGGACTAAGTACCATCTATTTGATACATTAAAGTAGGTTTCATATAATATGAGGTTAAGGATTTCATGACCTTATTTTGTACCACTCTTCAGAATCTATAATAATATTTCTTCCCATTTTTGAATTGCTATTGGCTTTATTGTTGTATTTGTCCTTTTAACTAACTTACAACAGTCAGCCCTTATTTTGTCTTTTTCTGTTTGGCCAAACATTTTTGTTTGATCATTCGATCCTGTGTATATGTGACCCAATATAAATGGCAACTCTTAAATAGGTAAACACATCTGAATTAATCAAAGAGAACTCTTTTATCAAAGAAGGAAAGTACTTAATTCTGTTCTCACACATATCTGATTTTTCTTTCACCCCAGCTAAATAATGATATATCTTCTATTACATAATTTAGGGCCTCTAACTCTATAAATCCAAAATTTTTGTTGTTTTATCTATAATTTATTGCTTAATCTAGCCCATATTGTGAAAATTTATGTAAGACACACATTTGATTAGTTTTTTCCTCATTCCATATTGCTCAGATAATATATTCCTTGTCCATAATCTCCTGTTATATTTTGAACCATCCCTCTCTTTTCTATTTCTCTTTAGTCAACTATTGTAGATGGTATACAGCGTTGGCCTCATAATAGCATCTTATATCAGGGAAATTGACTCCCCCCCTTATTTGTTTCATTGCTTAAAGGGACTCTCCAGTGCCAGGAAAACAATCCGTTTTCATGGCACTGCAGGTCCCCTCTCCCTCCCACCTCACATCCCCTGTTGCTGAAGGGGTGAAAACCCTTTCAGTCACTTACCTGAGACCCCCGCCGATGACCCTTGGCGGTGGTTTTGGTTCGCCGCCGCTCCTCCTCTTCATTACGTTGGCCGGTGGGCGAGACTGATCCTGCCCGCTGGCCATGGAGACCTAATGCGCATGCTTTTCAATGCTTTCCTATGGGGAACTGAGCGACGCTGGAGGTCCTCACACAGCGTGAGGACGTCCAGCGACGCTCTAGCACAGGTTTTCGGAGCTATGGACCAGAAAGTGCCCTCTAGTGGCTGTCTAGTAGACAGACACTAGAGGTGGAGTTAACCCTGCAAGGTAAGTATTGTAGTTTATAAAAAAAAAAAAACTGCAATAATTACACTTGCAGGGTTTTCAAAATCAATGACAAAATGTAACAATTTCTGCCAGGCTTGAGCACAACTGTATCTTTTTTAAACTGTTCCCAATTATTACTTCATACAAATTGCTAAAGGCTGTGTGTATTTTAATTAATTCTTTCCGTTGCATTTTCCGTGAAATCAACAAATAGTCTATTTTAGCCTCAAGAAATATTTCCAAAACACTTGTTCAATAGTAAATCATTTTTTTATATAAAAATACTGTAGTACCATGATGCATGTAAAATTACCATCTGTCCTCATTTCTGCTTTTTATTGGGATTTCACATTTTATGCACCTTGAGGCTGTGATAATTGAGTGTAACATTTTTTTTTTTTTAAATATTCGAAGGCATTGTATGATTTAGATTTTTATAATTTTGTGATTTAGATTGTGTGTATATGTTGCTTCCTTAAGTGTTGTTTTTTTTATTCTTTGTTTGTGCTCAGCTCACAGGTGTGAGAGAGGGCAAATGTGAAAGGTACAAAATAGACATTTAAAAATTGGCATACATTGTATAATCAAACTTAGACTCAGATTAGAACACAAGTTCTGGAAAATTAACCCATGAGCCAAGGGTTTTATGGTTATATAAAGAGGAACTTTTCGAGGGGTTCCTACTAGTAGCTGGCCATATATTTAGGCACCTGAAGTAATGTCAAATATAAAATAGCTAACCTGGTGGGGACTACTATATGAACTGTGTTGCGTGTATAGGCCAGGATGTTAGCCTGGTGTTAACCTGGTAATAGTAACACCTCTAGGCCAGTTAAAACTATGCCTCTATCTGAAAACCATTGGTGAGGCGGGGGGGGGGAGGTAAGGTGTAGTGTAACACCAAGTGGTGACCACTGCATATACACTTCACAGGATAAATGGGGTAACTGTCACCAGGTCCCATCTGTGTGCTGCAAGGGTTGACAGTCGGGACCTAGACGGAGTCAAGGAGTCTTCCAGCAGGTCCATTCAGATCCTGTACTGACCTCAAGTATTTAAGTAAAGAGAATGGTGACCACACTTAGAGATATTGAACTTGTGGAAGGACATGAGAATCGAGATTAAGTCACTCACTTTGGGCAGTGCTCAGTGGACATGACATCATACTTGTGGTAATAAGTCTTTTCCTCCAGGATGTCAGGCTGTTGGATCAGAGTGCCACTTTCCCTTTAATATTACAGTCACACAGGGAAGTTATCATCAGTTTGATGGAATTAGCAAATTGTTGGCATAGACGAACACTGAGTAGCTCTTTCAGCTTCCTGGCCACTGTTGTTACATCAGTGTGCCACTACAAACTAATTCCCTGTTCCTTTCACATTTTATTTTTGAGTTATATGTGAATCACCTGTCTCACACTGTCATTACTGTGGCTCAAAGATACAGTTATGTCACTAAATGGAAGTGGAACTGAAACTAGCAGTCCTCTTGTTGTCCAATACTCCAAATTAGAGCATCAATGACCATACAGTGGCGGAAAGATTGAGTTACATGAACTGCATTGCCACTGAAAGTGATTTTAGAGGAAAATAAATATTGAACAAAGGCCTGTATCAAAGGGCATGCTGCAACTGTTTCCATTAAAAGAGGTGATTTTGCCGCAAATAGAGGTGGATTAGACAAAGTGGTGAGTGCACAGTAGGTACAGAAAGTAGTACACTGCTACCTCATCTCTCCAAACTCTCTTCTTGTAATTCTTTTGTATTATAATTGATATACTTCTGGGATAAACATACACCCTGTTCCAAATTATTATGCAAATTCTATTTAAGTGTCACAAAGATGAAATATTTTGTTTTTCAGTTTAACACATGGATGGCATTGTATCTCAGGGATCTTTTGATCACTGAAAACAATCTCAGACACCTGTGATAATTAGATTGCCAGGTGAGCCCAATTTAAGGAAAAACTACTAAAGGAGGGTGTTCCACATTATTAAGCAGAGCACCATTTTCATGCAATGTGGGGAAGAAAAAGGATCTCTTTGCTGCCAAAAAGAGTGAAATAGTTCAATGCCTTGGATGAGGTATGAAAACATTAGATATTTCACGAAAACTTAAGCATGATCATCGCACTATTAAGAGATTTGTGGCTGATTCAGAGCACAGACGGGTTTGTGCAGATAAAGGCACATTGAGGAAGATTTTTGCCAGATCCATGCATCAGATCAAGAGAGCAGCTGCTAAAATACCATGACATTTGAATCTGCTGGTGCCTCTGGAGTCCCACGGACATCAAGGTGTAGAGTCCTTCAGAGTCTTGCAACTGTGCATAAACCTTCTATTCAGCCACCACTAACCAATGCTCACAAGCAGAAACGGCTGCATTGGGCAGAAAAATACATGAAGACTAATTTTCAAACAGTCCTGTTCACTGATGAGTGCCGTGCAACCATGAATGGTCCAGATGGATGAAGAAGTGGATGGTTGGTGGACGGCCACCCTGTTCCAACAAGGCTCCGACATCAGCAAGGTGGTGGTGGAGTCATGTTTTGGGCCAGAATTATGGAAAGAGAGCTGGTCGGCCCCTTTAGGGTGCCCGAAGGTGTAAAGATGACCTCTGCAAAGTATGTGGAGTTTCTGACTGACCACTTTCTTCCCTGGTACAGAAGGAAGAATTTTCCTTCCTGTAAATAAAATAATCTTCATGCATTAAAATGCACCATCTCATGCTGCAAAGAATACCTCTGCATCAATGGCTGCTATGGGGATAAAAGAAGAGAAAGTCATGGTGTGGCCTCCATCCTCCCCTGACCTCAATCCTATTGAGAACCTTTGAAGCATCCTCAAGCAAAAGATCTATGAGGGTGGGAGGCAGTTTACATCCAAACAGCAACTCTGGGAGGCTATTCTGACATCTTGCAAACAGATTTCAGCAGAAACTGTCCAAAAACTCACAAGTTCAATGGATGCAAGACTTGTGAAGCTGCTATCAAATAAGGGGTCATATGTTAAAATGTAATGTGACCTGTTAAAATGTTTAAAAAGTTAAAATGTTGTTATAAGTTTGATTGAAATAGCTTTTGATTTCAGTAAATATGCTGCAAACACAACAAATGACAATTGTCAGTTCTTTACAACCTATAAAGTGTTTTGAAACTTAATGTGAGGAATAATTTGGAACAGTGCATTGTAAGTTTTTTATGTTTAAAAAAAAATACTGTTATCATTAGGAGGATTGTTCAATAAAATTTGAATTGTACTCTTAATAGTTGATAACATGAGAATTATGCTGACTGTTATTTACATCAATTATTTAGATAAATGAGTAAAATATAATGTGCATAATAATTTGGAACAGGGTGTATAAGTCTGGAGTGGTGGGGGAAAGAGCAATATAATCATCATTAGATTACTCACCACCACCACCAAGACCAGGATTGCAGGTGCTAATTGGGTTCTTTGTTCTACCTCATCAGTAAAGAGTGACTCTAATGGCACTGACAATGTTTTTGCTGAGTTTCTCATTGGGAGTACTACAAGAAATAGAGGAAAAATACAGCAAACCCACTAGTTTAGACTGACTCCTTGCTTTGAGTACCATGAAACATAGAAGTTGTAATGCTTGAACTAGCTGTGTAAGATGCTAGAATGAGCTGCAGCACCAGTTGTTGCAGTATGAAAAGGTGGGTGGTGAATCAGATAATAATGGGCATGCTGCCAATATCCTGAGGCCATTCTCCTAATGGTGAAAGAAGTGGTGGTGGTTAAGGCAGTGGTAGAGGAGGTGTCAGCAATTCTTCTTGGCTTTAGGAACATGATGATGGAACATGATGATGTTGAGTTTGTTTTTCTTATTACAATAAATTTGGTATATGAATGGTTGTGTTTAACAAACTGTAGGAAACACTACAGTACACACTATACAGACACTGCACAGTGCTCACACATTTGCACAGCATACACCGGGCTGAACACATTCACAAAAATAACTGAAGAGGCAAAAAAGATTCTCCAAAAAAAGATTTTCTTTATTTTTTTGAATAATAATAAAAAAAATCCTGTCTAACTGTAAATTGGTGATTCCAAGTTGGTGTTAAGTAGCAGTGGTTAGCAGAATTTGACTACACTAACCGTAACCACCACTATCACACAAGGATGAATGAAGTAAACAGACTAGGTATAACAATGCACAGTTTAGTTAAAATGGCCCACTTGTGAAACCAACCTTTGATAAAGAGCACATGTTATGTGTTCATTAAATGTGAGTTTAAAAAGTGGGCCATTTCGACTAAGCTGGGCATTGTGCTATGTCTAGTTTGCTTGCTTCATATTTCTGCTGATTGAACCCTAGCAATTTTTGCACATTTGCTGCACTTTTATTGGCACTGCATTGACCACACTCTATTATTGTATTATTCTACTAGGGTGAAAGAAGCAGGTTATCTACCACTGTTGCAATAGCTAGGCAAAGGGTACTTTTTTTTTCATTTTTACAGACCAAAACACTCGCCCACAAAAAAAAAAAAAAAGATTTTCTTTTTCCAAACACAAAAAAAAAAAAAAAAAAAAAAAGATTCATTCCTTTCTAAATGTAAATTGGTGATTCCAAGTTAAGTGGCAGTTGTTAGAAGTAGGACCTGGCACAAGTCATAATCACCAGTCTTAAATTAGGATAAATGAATCAGGCTATCTCATATTCAGAGTTAATTTGAGTGCCACTGTGGCAGTAGCTAGTCAATATTATTTTTAATTTTTTTTTTTTTTTTACTTAGTGAAAAACAGCCCACGCACCTCCACACAAAAAATATTTTTACAAACAATTAACAAAAAACAAACAAAAAAAGCCTTTCAGGGCTATCAAGGAAATACCCCAGGCAATGTTTAATCTGTTTAGAGCCTTGTAGTGATTTCCAGTTTTCTTTATCCAAGTGCACGTTTTTTTATACTCTGATTCCTAGTCTTTGATCTTGCCTTGTCTAGATTACTCTATTAAATGTATCTCTGACCTCTACTTGTTTATCTACCTCTTTGTCAGTCTTAGCCAATCCTATGGGGAAGCATTGTGATTGGATCAGGCCACCACTTCTGATGATGTCAGCAGGCAGTGGGCAGGTTAAAGGAAACAGTGACAGAGCAAGCAGCTCCAGACTTGAATACAAGTAAGATTTTACTATATTTAGGAAGGCATGAGGGGGACAACTAGAGTAAAACTAGATGGTGGTTTTAACCCTGTAGGGTCAGGAATACATGTTTGTGTTCCTGACTCTATAGTGCTCCTTTAATGTGAATGCTGGTGAATAAAGGGACTCCAAGCCCAGGTCATGGCACTTAGTATAGTGATCAACTGTGCAAGTTAATGAAAGTACCCACGGACGATATTAGTCTGTATCATCACAGTGTTCAATTAATTCTTTATGATTTTACATTTAACCAGGAATTCTATTTGACAAAGAAAACATCACAATGCTCCTTGGGTTTAACCCCTCAAGGACTGAGCCAAATGCATAGGCGTGCGCACGGGGTGTGCCTGGGCACACCCAAATCCCTGCAGCACGCCTATGGAGTGAGACCGCCAGGGAAAATCTCAGGATCTCCCCTGTCGGTCCATGCAGAGCTGGCGCTATCGGAGTATGGAGTATGGAGGGAGGCAAGAAAGGACCCGGGGAGCTCAACCAGCAGCTCCGCCGGGTTCCTCTCGCGAGTTCTGAGCGTTGCCGCGGCAATGCTCAAATCTCGCGAGAGTGAACTCTAGCCCCACAGGGTAGAGTTCACTCTCCACTGGACCACCAGGGGAAGCAGCAGGAACAAGAATCCCCCCTCCCTACATAAGGTAAGAAGGGAGGGGGGATATTAAGTAATGTACCCCCACCTCCACCCCCCACAATCACCCACACACCTAAACACATACAGCACTTACACACATACAGCACCCACACAGCACCTACACACATACAACACATACAGCACACACACACACACAGCGCCTTCACACATACAGCACCCACACAGCACACACACACACACATACAGCACCCACACACATAAAGCACACACACACACACACAACACCTTCACACATACAGCACCCACACACACAGCACCTTCACACATACAGCACCCTAACACACATACAGCACACACAGACACAGCACCCTCACACACTTACAGCACACACACATACAGCACACACAGACACAGCACCCTCACATACATACAGCACACACACATACAGCACCCTCACACACATACAGCACACACACACACAGCACGTTCACACACACAGCACCCACACACATACAGCACCCACACAGTGCACACAGCACCCACACACATACAGCACCCTCAAACACACAGCACCCACAAACACACAGCACCCACACACATACATCACCCTCAAACACGCAGCACAGAAACAGCACCCTCACACACACACACACAGTACCCTCACACACACAGCACACTAACAGCACCCTCACACACACACATCGCACACACACACAGCACCTTTACACACACAACACCCTCAAACCACCCTCACACACAGCAGTGTATGTATGTGTGTGTGTGTATATATATATATATATATATGTTTGTGCTTTAGGGTGCACACCTTAATGCAATAGGCTGTGCACGCCTATGGCCAAATGTACACGTTTTGATCAAAATAAAAAGTAAACAAAACTTAGAATTTGACTATATGCCTGTTATATGCTATTTCACTTTCATATTAAGTGCACCCACACTTATTACAGATCATTTTATTCAGGAGAAATAGGGCTTTCATTTAACATCAAATATTTAGCAATTAAACATAATTTAATATGAACAAAATATAAATTTTTTTAGAAATTAATAAATGTAATTTTTTTAGTTCTGCATTTCATTTTACTGTAAATTTTATAATACTGTTTGCTTTTACTGCAATAAAATACACATATTTGTATTTCGCGATGTCTCACATGTAAAACAGCACTCCCTATGTACAGGTTTTATTGTATTTTGGGAAGTTACAGGGTCAAATATAGCATGTTAAATTTTTCATTTTTTTCACATTGAAATTCGCCATATTGGTTACGTTGCCTTTGAGAAGGTATGGTAGCCCAGGAATGAGAATTACCCCCATTATGGCATACCATAATAGTAGGTAACCCAAGGTATTGCAAATGGGGTATGTCCAGTCTTTTTTAGTAGCAACTTAGTCACAAACACTGGCCAAAGTTATCGTTAATATTTGTTTTTGTGTGAAAAATGCAAAAACTAATTTGAATGCCAATTTTGGCCAGTGTTTGTGACTAAGTGGCTACTAAAAAAGACTAGACATAACCCATTTGCAATACCTTGGGTTGTCTACTTTTGCAAATGGTATGCCATCATGGGGGAAATTCTCATTCCTGGGTTACCATATGGTCTCAAAGGCAACATAACCAATCTGGTGAAGTTCAATGTGAAAAAACTGAAACACAAGCCTTATATTTGACTCTGTAACTTTTGAAAACACCATAAAACCTGTACATGAGGGGTACTGCTATACTCAGGAGACTTCACTGAACACGAATATTAGTGTTTCAAAACAGTAAAATGTATCACAACAATTATATCATCAGTGTAAGTGTCTTTGTGTGTAAATAATGCAAAAAACTTCACTTTCACTGCTGATATCATTGTAATACATTTCACTGTTTTGAAACACTGATATTTTAAATATAGTGCTAGCAAATTAAATTCTCTGGACTTTCTGCCTGGGTTATCAGGCAGGTCCCGCAAATTGTAATTAATAAAATGACTTAATTATGTAAACATATTACATAAATGCAGAGGGCAAGATATATATATATATATATATATATATATATATATATATATATATATATATATACATACATATATATATATATTATTTTGTTCTAAGTGTATTTTGATACATATATATATATATATATGTATGTAGATAGATAGATAGATAGATCTAGAAATATATATCAAAATACAGCCGGTCCCCAAGGACGGCATAACACGCCGTCTTTAAGGGGTTAAACAGTTTAAGAAGAGCTTAAGAAAAATAGAACCCAAACTGACATTAAGCCCAAAACACTATATTAAGAATTTCCATGTAAGAATTGCATTTGTGTTAATACTCAACATGAAAAGTAGTACTTTGCAGCGTGTCACAGTTT